CACAGCCAGGCAGCAGCCCCCACTGCCAGATTGCTGCAGTGGGTAGAGGGTGCAGGGAACTCTCAGGACTACTTCAGCAGTCCAGCTGGCACAAGGGGCAGTGTCCCCAGGTACCAATTGGCTGCGCCCCAGAATCTCCTGAGAGCTAGTAGCCCTGAGCTACTTGACAGGGCAGCTTTTTGTACTGCTGGGGCCAGCACAGGTGCTAGCCCCGGGCTCTAGCTCCCCCTGGCTGAAGATTCTGGAGGAGCCAGGCAGGGTTATTTTGCCCCAAGTGGCATAATTTGCTCCACAAAGTGCATGTCCAAGCATATACGCTGAAGCAAAAAGACCCGGCTCAAATTTGCACTGCTTCTATTTGAGCCACTGCAAGCACACATGCTTGCATGTGTGGACGTGCCCTATGGCATACGTACAGTACTGTTTTATCCATATGGTGAACCAGGTTGGCATTCAGCTTTGGAACTTCCCAGATATGAGACTTTAACGTGGAAAAATGTCCATCATGTTACAGTTTAAAATCACTTAAACAGCAGTTTGTCGAAATAATTTTCCTCCATGTAAAATTGAATTAAATTTAACTCAATGGTGGACTGTAGATTCACATTTACAAGTTGAAGCAAACATTTTGAATTACATTAGGCAAGAACAAGGAAAACTTAAAAGTGACACAATACAGTAGTCTGATGGACTTCTTAATGGATACTGCCAAAATCTCTGGTATGCAAATAGGAAAACCTGTCATTTTACTGTCATCATTCCAAGGAGGACAAAGAAACACGAGAGAATGATATCATAACATCATAGCAATAGTGAGCAAATACGGACACCCAGATCTGTTTATTACATTCATTGCAAGTCCAAAATGGACCGCAATTCAAGACAGTTTATTTACTGGACAAAATCCCTCAGACAGACCAGACTTAGTGGCAAGAGTATTGAAAATTAAGTTGGCATCTTTACTTGATGATGTCATAAAAACCATAACATTTTTGGTCCAGTAAAATCACCCATGTGTACACAACTGAGTTTCAGAGGACTCCCACATGCACACATGCTATTGGGGGAAAAAACACCTTGACACACAAGCAGCCATCAATTGTATAGTTAGTGCTGAAATTCCCGATGCAGATACAGACCCAAGTTGATATGACATAGTGAAAAATACATGATACATGGACCATGTGGTACTTTTAACAGTAATTCACCATGTATGATTGAGGGAAAATGTACCAAAAAATTTCCCAAGCAATTTCAACAAGAAACAATAACCAAATGTCAACAGATATCCTTTATGTAAAAGAAGGCAAACATATACAATCCAAGTAGGCAAGCACACAATAGACAGTCGTTACATCATTCTATACAATAAATATCTTTTGTTAAAATACAACATTCATATCAATGCTGAAGTATGCACATTGATATATTTGATGGACTTTATCTTTAAATACGTTTACAAAGGATATGACTGCACCACTATTAAAATAGTAAATAATCAATGACTACAACATGACGAGATAGCTTCTGGTTGTGTCACATACCTTGCATCAAGGTAATTGGCTATGTGGAGATTGCAGGAAAACTGTATGCATGATAGATCTTATTCAATCATTAGATTAGCAGGTCATTTGCCATTCCAACAGTCAGTATATTTTCAACCAGGACATGAACGTGAGGCCATCGATCATGCAGACATTTAAAAAAAAAAATGACTTTAAATGCTTGTTTTTCATCAAATCAAAAATTGCCCCTAAGTGCAACACTATTTATACAGCAAAATTCCATATCAATATGTATTTCAAAAAGGTGTTTGGAGAAGACAAAGAGGTGGAGACAGCATTCTCCCTAGGATGTATTCAGTGAGTCCAATTGACTTGGAAGGTTTTGTTTAAGAGAGTGATACTATTGCACATCCGTGGAGCAACCACTTTTGAAGAATTATGTACCATTAACAATGTCCTCTGTAATACATTTCAAGAAGCAGCAAGACAATGAAATTTGCTGGCCAATGATGAAGAATGTGACTGCCGTGTGGAGGAAGCAGCTGGAATTCAAATGCCCAGGCAGTTGAGTCACATGTTTGCATTCATTTGCATATTTCGTAAGCTATCTAAAGCATTGCACCTATAGGAACAATTTATGGATGACATGACAGAGGACTATAGGAGGAGACATCACAATGATGACATGTTAGTACAAAAAGCATTGCTGGATATACAAGAATTGTTGATGGGCTGAATTTGAGTTCTTTTGGTCTCCCTGATCCAGGTGTGATTGAACAAAATAGTGACACCCTTTACGACATTGCCAAAGAATTCGAAGAAGCAGAACAATGAATTAGAAAGCCCAACACACTACAGAAATACGTCTTCCATCAAATTGTTACTGCTATAAATGGAGACAATGCAAATCACTGCTTTTATTTGGATGGACCTAGAGGATCTGAGAAAACTTACTTAACGTGTTACATTAGAGGAATTGGGCAAATTGTTCTCCCTTTTGCAAAAAGTGGGAATAGCTGCTCTTCTTTTAAAAGAAGGAAAAACAATACACAGCAGCTTCAAATTACCTATCCCAAAACTTGAAACCTCTACTTCAAATATGAGTTTATGGCAGGGGCAGGCAAAATATGGCCTGTGGGCTGTATACGGCCCGCCAGGCCATTCTATCCAGCCCATGGGGCCCTAAAAAAATATAAATTTTCTAAATTTATCTGCCCCTGGCTGCCTGTCAAAGATGACAGGAGACAGGGACAGTAGGACCCAGGGGGAGCCTCTGGCAGGATCAAGTAGCTGGAGAAACAGGTCCAGCCTGGCCCCGCCCCCCCCTCCAGGTCTCCCACCCTGAGCCCCAGCTGGAAGCCTCTGCCTAGCAGGGGCTTCTGGCCTGGGACTGTTCCAGGCTCCCACATGGAGGGAAATACAGATAAGTGGGGGGGACAGAGGCAGGGGAAGACTGCAGGCAATCACCCTAGTTCTCAGGGCTGGCTGGGCCAGCTCCTGCAGTCCCAGTGCTGACAGTTGGAAACCACGTGGTGCTGAAGCACAGTGGGCAGGGGGAGGGAAGGAGTGGAGAAGTGTCTGTGGCAGACTGCGGGAAGGGGCAGCAAGCAGATGTGTTGAGCACAGCGACTGCCTGGCAGGTGTGCAGGACCCATACCAGTGCCCCAGGGCCAGGAGTGACAGGAGCGCAGAGTCCGGGCTTGCAGGAGCACTAGCAGGGCTCTGCCTGCTGTGGGCGTGGGCAGATTGTCTTCCACAAGTCACAACCCTCACCAGCCACCATCCTCAACACATTCACAGCCCCCCACAAAACCCATACCAACCCACACCCCACACCTATCCACCTCCCCACAAATCTCCCCCATACACACACTCCCCCACAAACCCATACTCATCCTCCCACCCACAGTATACAAGAGTAAGACTTCATTTTAAGCTATTATACAATCACCTCTATGTATCCTATACAAACACATGTAAATCAGGACAAAAATATTTTTTGAAATGAAATTAAATGAATGTTGTAGTATGTTTCATTTTTAGAATATAATTTGGTATATTTCTGGTTCAGAAATGGCTAACTCCCTTGCTGAAAGGAATAATTCTGGAGGGCAAGAGGAGGGACTGCTGGTGCCAAAAGGTCAGGGGTTAGGGGGCAGGACTTCTGGTCACTGGGCTGGGTGGGAGCGCCCCGAGCCCTTTTCCGCGCTGCACGCGGGCTGTGGCCAGCAGCCCGGGCACTCTGGGTTGGAGAGGGAAGGCTGTCGAGCTGGAATTAGGCACAAACGCGTATCGGTAGTTTAAAAGATTGTTTACTTACACCGAGATGGCAGTGGTGCAGGCTGGAAAACTTGCTTGAGTTGCAGTTACAGACAGAAAAGAAAACAAAAACTCGAACCTGCAGGGCACGAGGGTACATCGCAATGGGTTTCCGGTGACGGGAAAATAAACCCGCAGGACTCGAACCCGGGTAGAAGAGCTCTGAGGTAGTTCGGTCAAGGATTCACACGAAGTTTGCTAGGCTCCGTGGGTCTGGTTCTCTTGCGCGCGGGAAGGGATACGTCTGGACTGTGCTCGGCGACGGGGAGAGGCTAGAGGTTGATCAAACCTCCGTTGCCTGCTTTAAATGCACTGGGTCCGTAAGGATCCGCAGTGCTTAGAGATCTTTACACAGCGTGAAGTCTCCTCCTCCCTTGTTCGTGGAGTCCTCCAACTTGGGCAGAAACCACTCAAGCCTTTTATACGGTTGGCAAGCCAATCGCTAGCCGCCACGTGTGAATAATTTAGAACTGGCCAATAATGGGGCTCGAATTAACATACAAATGGCGGGAACTCTTTGCAACGAGCATTTCTGTGCTGCAACAAAGAAATGCACCCTGCAAAGAAAGCTTCAAATTGGCGGGAAATTCTCCCTTGCACCGGGGCTCTCTTTTGCAGCAGAAAACTCCACCGTGCAAGGAAGCTGTAATTTAGCGGGAACAATTTAGCAGTGCCGAAGCACACAAAAACAAAAATCACACCCTTTGGGTTGTGACAGTCACAAGATGGCAACCAGGGGGTGGGGCACCTGTCAAGGGGTGGGGCTACCCAGGAGTCCCTCAATGGCTTGCCAAAACTTGGTAAGTGGCCCTGTGCCCAAAATAATTGCCCACCCCGGCTTACAGTCACCTGAAGCTGCCACACTGAAAAATGCCCCACACAATTATAATTGACAAAGCCACTATGATGCACACACATGCACTTAGATGCACTGATTTATCGTTGAAAGACATTATGCAAAATGATACACCCTAGTCCCTCAATGGCTTGCCAAAACTTGGTAAGTGGCCCTGTGCCCAAAATAATTGCCCACCCCGGCTTACAGTCACCTGAAGCTGCCACACTGAAAAATGCCCCACACAATTATAATTGACAAAGCCACTATGATGCACACACATGCACTTAGATGCACTGATTTATCGTTGAAAGACATTATGCAAAATGATACACCCTTTGGAGGAAAAACTGATTTTATTAGGCAGAGACTTCAGACAAACATTACCAGTGGTAATAAGATGTACAAGAATGGAGACAATTGAGGCATGCGTAAGTAATAATCATCTGTGGTCACATTTCACCAAAATCAAATTATCACAAAATAAGCAAACTGAAGGACAACATCGATTCAATGAATGTACTCTCAGAATTAGTGAAGAAAGAATATTGAATGGTTATAGGTTGCCACAGATACAATTGAAATACCAGAAGCCTTTATTGAAATGGAGTCCCATTGTCAAAGCAGTTTACGGGAAAGCACATTGAAGTAGAAAACTTGGATTCCCTTGTGAAGAAAATTATCCTAACTCCTAAGAATAAATGTGCCATGAAATTGAATACTAAAATTATAAACTTTGCTGCCTGGTGAAGTGAAAAAAAATACTACAGCACAGATTCAGTGATAATAGACAATTCCGAAAATGCTCAAACACCATCAGGACTGCCACCGCATGAATTGCAATTGAAAATTGATACTATTGTTATGTTACTCAGAAATATGAATCCAAAAATGGGACTCTGCAATGGAACTTGACTGGTAATAAGGAGGATTAAACCAAAATTTCCTAGATGCTGAAATAATTACAGGTACTAATATAGGAGAACACAGCATCATTCCCAGGACTGATTTGGCTCCAGAGACACAGCTACCTTTCATTTTGAAAAGGAGACAATTTCCCCATAATAACAGCCTTTGCAATAACAATTAATAAAATCACAAGGACAAACGTTTGACTCCGTTGGCCTCTGCTTACCAGAACCAGTGTTTTCCCATAGACAGTTGTATGTAGCCCTAACAAGAACCAGGAATAAAAACAACTTAAACATATATATTTCACCAGTGGAAAATAAACAAAGAAATTTACATAGCGATGAGAAAATATTCACCAAAAAACATAGTCTTTAAGGAGATATCTGATTCCTGCCACACCATCTGGGTGGTTAACCAAACTGTGAGCAACCCAAAGGAAGACTGAGTAACCAACCCTGTTAGGATATTAGGTCACAGAACGAGGAAGGGATTCATATCATCAAATGTTTCAGCCTATTTTATTTAAGCTTTACACATATTTATTTAATAAATATAAAAAGTAAAATCTATCTGTTTGTTTTTGTTATTTGAAATTCATCCATCATTCATGACAGGCAGTTCACTAGTAGAACATAAATGACTTAACTTCATGGCGTTCCTGAGCTGCCTTTGGCCATTGTGGTCTAGAGCACCTTCCCTGTGCTAGGTCAAAGCCTGACTAAAGCCTCAACAAGAGTCCTGGCCTTATAAAGCCTGTAGCTATGCTCCCCCATTGGATCACTTCCCCATCAGACCTGCCAATTACAGCCTGGGATCCCTGAACCTCTGCCTTTCAGGTTTCAATTGAACTTTCCACACCTGGAGCAAGCAGCTGTATTTTCTAAGGGCCTCTTAACTCCTAGAAATTCTCAAGAGTCCTAGAGCCAGACTGTTGCTTCCTGGTGCTCTTCTCCTCAGTAATGGGCTCCATGCAGTAATGAAGATTTGTCTCATCTGTTTAGACTTATTAGGAACACCATACTGGGTAGCAATTTCCATGCAGAAGTGTGCTAAACAATTCTGCGGTTGTTCTGGATTTTTTCACACAACTGCAATTTTGCGATAAAGAATATTTCTAGCCTTGTTATCTATTAATGGCTATTTAAAATAAGACCTACCTGCCCAAGAATACAGCATTTTGTGACATCAGGAGGCACATAGTGAGGACAGGCAGCATTTTATGATGGCAGGAGGTCCTAAGTTCCTTCTTAGTACCCCAAGCTAAGAATCACCTTCCTGTGTTCTCGTGGTTTGAGACTATGCCTGCTCAAAACAATAATGAACAAGCTTGGGAGGGTCAAAGGCTGGTTTGGTGTTATGCAAACAATTCTAATGGATTTGGTACAATAAAACTTTCTGTTATTGAATAACAGAAAATAAAAGCAGGTGTTTGTGGTTACTGATATAGGTTTTTAAAGTCTATGATGCCATCCCATGGCATTAAAACAACCCAGACTAAGCATTTTAAGTGACTACATGTTGACAGGACTATTTGTAGAGAGAGGCTGGAAGGAGATCTGAATTAGATCAGTAGCTGTAAGGGGGCAGTTAGACCTTCCAATGAGCCCATGCCAACTTTAAGGAATGATTGTTGGGGTTCAGGTTAGCATGAGCTGTGAGCAGCTGCCCATTAAGGGTTGGCAGGAGAGACAGAGGGAGAGCCCTGGCATGGGGTGGTAGGGGAGGGTTCGCAGGGATGGGACAGGAAGGGAAAATGAGGATTCTTACCTTTGCAGCTCTCCCAGTTATCCTTGCTGTCACTCTGGGGAAAGACAGAGCACCCACTTGGGAAGGGCTGGGAGCAGTGCCTCCTAAGATGCCGGAGAACCACTCCCAACTGGTCTCCAGCCTGAAAAATGGTCACATTGGATTGCAACACGAGCTGCCCAAAACTAGTGAGGGATAAGTGTCACTGGAAGAGGATTCTCTCCAAGCTGTTCAGAGAGCCCTTAGCTTGGGGATAGGCAATTATTTTGACCAGGGCCAATTAGGGAATTTTAGTGAGCTGTCATAGGGTGGGTCAGCACCCAAAACTCCCTGAGTAGCCCTAAGTCGCACGTGGCCGGGCAGCTTCGATAGGGCTGTGGGCAGACAGGGAGTGGCATCTGGGAGTCAGACAGGTGGGCAGGCCAGGGCTGGGAATGCAGGGTAGTGACAGTGTGGGGCTGGGGTCCAGGACAGAGCCCCCATCCCATTCACCCAGCTGTGCCCTGCCCTCATGGGTCCCACCCCTGGTGGTATGCGCAGGGCAGACGGGCCAGGGTGCCCCAGCAACAGGGCCAGGCCTGGCAGTGGCGGCCAGGGGGACAGCCTCTGTGCTGCCCCAGTCCACTACACACCCAGGAGCAATGGAACCAGCTGCACATCATGGCCTGGATTATCCCCTGTGCCTGAGCCAGCTGGAGCCAGGGACCTGCTTTGGGCTGGACAAAATGCTTTGATGGGTCAGATCTGACCCGTGGGCTGTATTTTGCCCACCCCTGCCCTAGCCTGTTTTCCTACCTGAATGTGCAGATGTTCCTGTTTTAAGAACCCTTAACACAATGTAAGGTAACATATAACAACACCCTAGCATTTACAATTAAATACATCACACACAATTGATATGTAATGTATGTAACAATATCAGTTTCTCATACTAGCATCTTATAGACAAGCTAAGAAATGCAGACAGCTCTTTAAAGATTTAAACATCTAGGTAGGAGTATTGCTACCAAACCTGTTCTGTAGAGACCTACATTCTTTAAGTACATTGTCACATGAGGTTTCCTGTTACTTTATTCCCATCACCCTGTTTCCTGACTTGAAGTGGGGATGACTAGTAACCCCTTATATTGTTGGAGGGCTTATCTAGTCTGGAGAAGAGAAGATTGAGGGGGGACTGAATAACAACCTTCAACTAGCTGTAAGGTGTTTACAAAGAGGATGGAGCTGGACTGTTCTGGTGGCATATAACAAGGAGCAATGATCTTAAGTTGCAGCAAAGGAAGTTGAGGTTAGGTATTAGGAAAAACTCTCTCACTAGGAGGGTAGAAAAGCACTGGAACCAGTTACCCAGAAAGGTTGTGGAATCTCCATCCTTAAGAGCTTTTAAGACCCAGGCAGATGAAACCTTGGCAGGGATGGTCTAATTGGGGATAGTCCTGCTTGGAGCAGGGAGTTGGACTAGAATAATGACCTCCTGGGGTCCCTTCCAACCCTCATTTTCTATGATTCCATCTTCCACAGAGCTGGGGGGCACTGCATAGTCTTTCCCTTTCTGCATGTGGAAGTGGAGTCAGGCAGGACTTGCATTAGATTCTGGTGAATTACTTGGGTAGACAGACTAGACTGATATTTTTTCCCTCCCTTAGAGAGGTCATTGGTGATTTTGTCCTCAGAGAAAAAAGGATTTTGGGGATTTAACATCCTACTAAATTGAGATTGCAGTTCGCATCCAAGACTATCATTTCAAGATGTTGACATCCACCCCATGTACACCTGCATCACATATTAAAGCTTCTCTTTTGTGTCTATGAGGCTTAAATACCTCATTATGTTAAACTGAGATTCCAACATACTGAGGATCTTTACTTCTTATTTGCTGTGGTTCACCTGCTTTACCTGTGGCAGGTGTTATATGTTTTGTGTTGTGCTAGGCTTTGATGGTAGTTTTACTAAGAGATTTGGACTTAGATCATAAATTTGTCTGGAATGGTTTGGACAGGGCTGATCCTGCCTCAGGTAGGGGGCTGGACTAGATGTGACCTCTGGGGGTGCCTTCCAGCCCCATTTATGATATTATGAACCCCTGGCTTACAAGGCCAGTTTTCTCAACCCTGAGCTATAAGGCATCGCACATTGAATGCCACCTCCAAGTCCACAAGGTAAGAGAACAGCACCTTTTTCTGCCCTACATTGAGCCCAGAATGGTACCTGGGTCCCCCTGCTTTACCTGTGGCAGGTTAGGGCACTGTGCTCTGTGGCTGTGTGGCAGGGTCGCCTGTGTAACAGGTTGGACACAGATTTGTTTGGGATGGTTGGTCAGGGCTGATCCTGTGTCAGGCCAGGGGTTGGACTAGATGTGACCTCTAGAGGTGTCTTCCAGCCCCACTTCTCTAGGATTTATATGATTTATCCAATCCTGGCCTTATGCTGTCTCCTCCTTCAGATGAAGGGGTGGACAGGGGATGCTGGAGGAAGCGGAGATGGACTTTGATGGGGAACAGGGACTGTGAAGGGAACCGGGGATCCTCTGACAGAGGGAAAGATACTGTGAAGGTTTGGATAGTGTGGGTCAGGGGTGCTGGGGCAGAAGCTTAAGTTCAGGGACATTGTGAGGGGATTGTGAAGGCAAAGTAGTGTGCAACAGGTGCTAAAGACATAGGGTTTTACCAGTGTGACTAGACCAGGAAGGGATATGAAACTTCCCGTGCCCCAGGTGCTTCAGCAAAGTGCCTGGTGTAGACATAGCTACTGCTTCTATTGGCACAGGCTGTACCTACGGGGGCAAGGGGGGGGGGGTGCGCAGCAGCAGCTGCCATCATCACTACACTAAGAGAAAGTATAATGCAAGTGGCCTGAGTCTCTGCTGGGGAAGCTATTTTCCTGGCAGTGACTCATGGGAAAATATCCCCACTTAGGAGAAGGGACCACAGCAATGAATCTGTTTATTTCTTAGTTTTACACACTGCCCTGGCCAAAAGACTCAGAGTAGCTTACAATAAACAACCAAGAGACGAGATTCCCCAGACAGTAATCTACAACATGAGAAATCCCAATTTTCCCCCTCCCCCCCAATAAGCAAGCCCCTCCTAATTTCAACCACACAGTGGAGCCACCACTGGCATCCAAAGACAAGAAATCTCCCCAATACCCCCCCGCCACCACCCACCTCAACCCTAATGGATAATTCCCATCTTCTCACCACCTCTTCATTCAAGCCTGTACCTTTTCTCCTGAAAATGAGGGGCAGTGGTCACCCGACTCTGCAAAAAGCACACTTAACTCCCCCCACAAAATACACACACTATATTCCAAAGAGCCCCAGCAAATATCGTATTTACTTGAATCCAAGACGACCCTCCCCCCCATAATTTGATTCTATACATGGAAAATGTATAAATTTGTTACTATTTTCCATGTACACATTCTAATTCTTGGAGGGTCATCTTGAATCCATCCTTCACACTGCTGCAGGGTGCGGAGATGGTAGAAGACACAAGTAGCAGCTGCAGCAGGAGCCTGAGCCACAGCAGCCACCCCCACTGCTGTAAGTAATTCTAAGAGATGAGGGATTCCCCGGCCCCACTCTATCATGTCAAATGGGGGGAAGAAACCTCATCTTTGAATTAAGTATATGCGGTAGTAAAAGAAAGACTCTGCCCCCACCTCAGTCAGTGCTAAGATGCAACACTGAAAGGGGCCCTTAAAAGCAACAAGGGCAACCTACTTAAGAAAAACTTGAGCCCCCTGAAGAACAGCTCTGAGCTCACTTGTTTCATCTGTCTCAGCTGCAGGCTATAACCCCAACTAAAGCTCATTTAGGAGACCGCTCCCTTCTTCGAGGACAGTGCAAACCCAGCACCTGGGGAATGGAGCTTTGGGGGCATTTCAGGCCAGGCCAATTCCCTGCCCCCCCCCCCCCCCCCCCCCCACGGGGGCAAGGGGGAGGGTAAGACAAGAAGTGGTAAAGGATCCCTGTCAAAGGTGAGGGTCTGGCCTATGGGTCCCCTGGTGCTTGGTGAGAGATGAGCTATGCCGGAAGCTCACCCCGCACTGGACACAGAGGTATGGCTTCTCCCCCGTGTGCAAGCGCTGGTGTTCAATGAGGGATGTTCTGTGCCTGAAATGGTGACCGCACTGCCCACAGCCATAGGGCTTCTCCCCCGTGTGCAGGCGCTGGTGGCTTCTGAGGTGGGATGTGTGGTAGAAGTTCTTCCCACACTGCCCACAGATGTAGGGCTTCTCCCCTGTGTGCAGACGTTGGTGGACATGGAGGTAAGATGGGTCGTTGAAGCTCTTCCCACAGTCACTGCAATGATAGGGTTTCTCTGTGCTGTGCACACGCCAATGCTTAGTGAGAGAAGACCTCTGTGCAAAGTTCTTCCCACACTCTTTGCAGCCATACGGCTTTTCCCCAGTGTGGATGCGCCGGTGAACTTGGAGATGGGATGGGCGGGGAAAGCTCTTCCCACAGTCCTGGCAGATGTGGGGGTGCTCCCCTGAGTGTGTTCTCCGGTGGTCTATGAGACAGTATTTGTAGCGGAAGCTCTTTCCACACTCAAGGCAGGGGTAGGCTAGCTCCCGCACATGGGTGGCATCGTGCGCCTGGAGCTCTTGTTGGCCCCAAAAGCTCTTGCCACACTCTCCACAGATATACAAGGCCTCTGCCTGGACAGTGCTGCCCTCATGGCTCTTCAGGTCTCTCTGCTCCTTAAATCCTTCCTGGCACACAGGGCTCTTCTGTGGCTCAGCTGCTCTCTGTCCCCATTGCCTAAGGAGCTGGTTTCTGGCTGGAATCAGCCCCAGGTTTGCAAGTTCTTCCCCACGAGGCTGCAACTCAGCTCTGCTCAGCTTCATGGAACCTGCTGGGTGGAGAAGAGAACCCCAAAATTAGTCCCTGTACTCAAGGGTGGATCCAGGATTTGGCAAGGAGGGTTGCAGTTTCAGGGGTAGCTGCATTCCCCACTCCCAGACTCCTGCCTCTGGCTCCCTCCACAAGGACAGGCCTGTTCTTGGCTGTTGCTCCTGCAGCCCTGTCTAAGTGCCCAGAAAGGTAAGCACTGCTCCTCTCCCACTCCTGCCTGCTGTTGCCAGGTGTTGTCCTGAGCGTGAGATGAGCTCCAGCTGGGCTGCACTCACTGAAGACTGTGGCCGCAGTAGTAGAGGCCAGGGGACAAATCCCCCCTCTTTCCTGGGCTGACAGGGAACACCTAGGGGGAGCAGGCAGAGGGGGAATGCGCCTGCCTGCTGCCACCATTGTCATAAGAACATAAAAACTGCCACTGACTGGGTCAGACCGTACATCCATCTTGCCCTGCTTCCAGAGCAGAGAGCAGAGCTGAAAGGGACAGTGAACTGGGTCTCACCAGGGTTTTTCCCCTGCTCCTCTATCACTTGCAGCCTCCAGCATTTAAGGTCTAGAAAGTTCTGATTCAGAGGTTGTGTCCCTCACCCCCATGCTCCATAGCTGCTGATGTCCCTTTCCTACAAGCATGCGTCCAATCCCTTGGTGAATCTAACTAAACTCTCAGTTTCCACCACATCTGGTGGCAACAAGCTCCCCCCACTTTAATGACACGCTGGGGAAAAAAGAACTTTCTGGTGTTAATTTTAAATGACTGCCTGCTAGTTTCATGTGGCGAGTCCTTGTTCTGGTCTGGTGAGAGACAGTCAATAATAAATCCCTTGTGACTTTCTCTTCACCATTTAGTATTTTTGAAACTGTCCTTGTGCCCCTTCAAGCATCTCTTTTATAAACTGAAGGGGTCACAAGACCAGGTTGACGCAGCCTCCCTGCAGCCCAGCTGGAGCAGGCAGGAGCTTCCTTATTCCCTCCTACCCACAGACTGATGTATACTAGGGGGGACTGCCTTCCCCTGTAGTGGGGGGCATGGCCTTTACCTGGAATCTCTGGACTGTATACTGACAACCTTTTACAGAAGCAGGATGTTGGCTGCCATTAGGGCCAGATCCAGGATTTCCCAAAGTGGGGTGCAGAAGCAGTAACCCCCATTGCAAGGGTGGCTGCGCTCCTTGTTTCCAGTCTACTCTGCCCCACCAGTGAGGGTAGACCAGGCTGCGAGAGACTCTGGGGAGTTTTTAAAGTCTTTATGAGGGAAGGAGATGGAGAGGGTGCCACCTCTGAGCAAAAAGGGGGATGGTAGGAGTATTTTCACCTGCTTTAGGAGCTTTAAAAAGTCCCAAGGCCTCTGTAGTGTGGTTCATGCCTTGGCACCTGGGTACCCTCTTTTGAGAGCAAGACGTCTAATCCCAAGTGCTCCTAATGCTGGAGATGGAGGAACAGGCTAAGGCACCATGCTTAAGTTCTCTAGTGAATTTTGGATTAATTTTCTCAGTGATTCTTCCCCAAATCCAGGCCCTGAGTGGGAAAACTACATCACCTCAGACCTCTCATCAGGGGAAACTTATATAAGCATGCATGTGCTGGCAAGAACTTCAATGGGTCTATGCTCCAAGACAGAGTGTAAGACCAGAGGCATCTGCTTAAAAGAAGAATGAGACTGAGGGCCTGTCTATAACACAACAGTAGCGGGTACTTCCCCACCCACCCAAGTTCACTATTGCATTCAAGACCAAGAACTTCACCCATGAGACTGCTTGGCGCTTGGCCACAGTTCTCATTCTCAAGCACTCAGTCTCCAGCAGTCCAGACTTATCCTCAGATGCTATTCAAAGACATCTAAAGCATGAGACTGCTCTAGCAATGTGTCAGCAGATGTGGGGGTGGAGCACACAGAAAAGAGTGCTCTCTGGGACAGACCATTGCTGTGGAGGGCTGCGGAGCTTAGAAAAAAAAAAAAATCAAGTTATGTCCACCCCCATCCCTCAAGGAAACTTTCTGGGAGGGGAGGATTTGTAACTGAGGAGCCAAGCTGGTAATCAAATCTCTGGCTCACAGTAGGTAGGATCGGAAGGGACCTGAGCAGATCATCAAGTCATGATGACTTTCCATGGCAGGAAAGAGTACTGGGGTCAAATGACACCGGCAAGGTGATTATCTAGCCTCCTTTTGAAGACCCCCAGTGTTGGAGCAAGCACCACTTCCCTTGGAAGTTGGTTCCAGATCCTAGACACCCTGACTGTGCAGTAGTGCCTCCTGATGTCTAGACTGAACCTACTCTCGATCAACTTGTGGCCATTATTCCTAGTTCTCTCCCATTCCCCGCTGGTCCTCCCTGGTAAGTTTATAGACAGCCACCAGGTCCCCTCTCAGCCTTCTCTTGTGGAGGCTGAACAGATTCAGGTCCCATAGCCTCTCTTCATAGAGCCTTCCCTGCTGGTCCCTGACCATGCAAGTGGCCCTCCTCTGGACCCTCTCCATGTTGTCCACATCCCTCCTGAAGTGTGGCACCCAGAACTGGACACAGTACTCCAATTGTGGCCTGACCGGTGTCGCATAGAGGGGGAGGATCACCTCCCTGGACCTGCTCGTGATGCATCTGTGGATGCATGACAAGGCACGGTTAGCCTTCCTGGCTGCATTCCCACATTGGCAGCCCATGTTCATCTTGGAATCAATGACTCCAAGATCCCTTTCTGCCTCTGTGCTGATGAGAAGGGAGTTCCCCAGCCTGTAGGTATGCTGCTGGTTCTCTCTCCTTAGGTGCAGTACCTTGCACTTGTCAGTGTTGAATCCCATCCAATTCCCACTGCCCACCCCTGTAGTCTGTCCAGATCTAGTTGTAAGCTGTCCCTCCCTTCTTTCATGCCCACATCTTAGTGTCATCCGTGAATTTGAACAAGGTGCTTTTCACCCCCTCGTCCAAGTCGCTGATGAAGATATTGAACAGTGAGGGTCCGAGGACCGAGCCCTGAGGGACCCCATTGCCCACATCCCTCCAGGTCGAAAATGCCTCATCCACCGCCTCTCTCTGGGTGCGGCCTTCTAGCCAATTTGTGACCCATCTGACTGTGTAGGCATCGACACCACAGTCGCCAAATTTTTTTAATGAGAATGGGGTGAGAGACAGTGTCGAAAGCCTTCCTAAAGTCCAGAAAGATTATGTCCACCATGATACCTGCGGTCAAAGATTTTGTGACCTGGTTGTAAAAGAAAACCAGGTTGGTCTGACAGGACCTGCCCATAATGAACCCATGTTGGTTGCCCCTAAGCATAATCTCCTCTGCTGGTCCCTCGCAGATGTGCTCCTGGATAAGTTTCTCAAAGAGCTTCCCTAGGACCGAGGTAAGACTAACAGGCCTATCGTTTCCTGGGTCCTCCTTCCTCCCTTTTTTGAAAATGGGGACCACAAAATTGCGCTTTTCCAGTCCTCTGGCACCTGGCCAGCGCACCATGAGTGCTCAGAAAGCCGTGCCAGGGGTCCTGCAATGACTTCTGCCAATTCCCTTAGCACCCTGGGTTGGAGATCATCTGGACCTGATGATTTAAACATGTCCAGCCCCACCAGAAATTCCCTAACTAGGTCCCCCCTGACCGTAGGCCTGGCGGTGCCTCCCCTGAGTCCATCCGGAATCCCAGTGGGGGGGATGTCCCGGTCTTTGCTCAGAAAAATGGAGGCAAAGAATTTGTTAAAGAGGTCAGCTGTATCATCTGGTGCAACCACCAGATTGCCAAGCATGTCCTGCTGGGGCCCCACGTTATCCGGTGCCTTCTTTTTACCCCCTATGTATTTAAAAAAGGACTTCTTGTTATCTTTGATCCTGGTCGCTAGTCCTAGCTCCATCTCTTCCTTAGCCTTCCTAACAGCCCCCCTACAGTCTCGAGCAACAGAGGTGTAATCCTCCTTGGTGATAGCCCCGCCCTTCCACCAGATGTACACCTCCTTTTTAGCTTTCAGATGTTCCTGAATGCCTTTGGTGAGCTATGGGGGCTTTTGAACACTCTTGCCCCCTTTGATTCGCATTGGGACTGTCACCCTTTGGGCTTGGAGGATCGTCTCCTTACAGAACGACCACTCGTCTTGGACTCCCAACCCTCCTACCCTCCAGGATATCAGTGCCTTCCTGACTAATCTCAACTCATTGAAATTGGCCCTCCTGAAGTCAAGGGCTGCTGCCTTGCTGCAGGCCTCTGACACCCTGTGCTGGATAGTGAATTCCAGTAGGCGATGATCGCTATCACCCAGGTAGTCGAGAACCCACGGTCCCCTTACCAGGTTGGCGCCTGCGGCCAGAACCAAGTCCAGCAAGGCATTTCCCCTGGTGGGACTGTGCACCCAGGCTCTCCTGTCATAAGAGAGCTGAGCTCTGCTTCCTACCTGCTTGCAGGCAAAGGCCTGGTCCAGGGAATGATTCCACACAGCTTTCCTCTGCCACTGAGTCCCTGGTGTCCCCCACATCAGAACAATCTGCATCGAGAAAAGGCCCTGGGGATAACCTGAATGTGGAATCTAGATCTCAGGGCCCCGGCCTTTTGACACTCAGGGCCCCAGAGGAGCAGCAGGAGGGAGATTCTGGTGCCAACCATGAGTTTGCATCCCTAACAGCATGAGAGTCTGAGAACCCCACCCGCACGCAAGAGCCAATTATTTCAGGCGGAGGGCTGCTTACTGAGTTTTGGCAAGGTATCGAGGGCCGTATGACAGCCAGCCAGGGGCGGGTAACTATTAACTTTCTAAATTTTTTAGGGGCCCTATGGGCCAGATAGAATGGCCTGGCAGGTTGCATCCAGCCCGTGGGTCACATTTTGTCCAGCCCTGATTTAGCCTGTGGGCAGGTCATCTCTATGACAGTGACTCCTGCCAACGTGACTTGGGCTCACTCTCCAGAGAGGGGCGTGTTGGGGGAAAACAAGGAATAAGAGATCACTGAAGGGGTCAATGTAGGATTAATGCCCCAAGAATCCTGATAGAAGAAGAGAATAGTTGTTCCCACATCACTGAATTGTAGGGAGTGGTAAACACCTGGCTGGACAACACAGATCAGAATAAAGTTGTTTCAGGTCATTACCTTGTGGGGGTGGGGCTCAGAGCAGGATTGCAAGGTTCCAGCTCCCCCTGTCCCTCTGGCACACAGCAGTGGAATTGCCAGGACTCAAAAGGTGCAGAAAAGAGGAGCAGGGGCAACTGCCACAACTCACCTGGGGACAGGCCCTCAGACCATGCGTGTCTCCTAGGGTGCTCATCAACACAGACCCAGAGCTCCACCTCCCCCCGCTGGATGCGGCCAATCAAGTCTGGTGCAGGACCTCGACACCCTGTGTGGGGAAATACATAAAGGATGGTTATGTCTGGTTATATTCCATGTAATCCCCATTTGGATTCTGAGAATGGATCTAATGCATTCCAACATTTTAATGGGGCCTCATGGAAAAGGCAAGGTAAAAGTTTAGTATCAATGAGAAGCACTGGAATGAGAAACCTTCAGCAGGTCATAATGGTAGCCTTATGTAGAGTTTAGATTGTAGTTTGCATGGGATGGTTTGGATAGGGCTGATCCTGCCTCAGGCAGGGGGCTGGACTAGGTGACCTTTGAAGGTCCATTCCAGCTCAACTTCCTTATGACTCTATGACTGACCCTTGTTACCTAGGTCAGCGGAAGGACAGTCACATGAAATACAAAGCATCAACTGCTCGGAAAGATATAAAACTCCCATTAGTAATGTGGAAGGTGAGAGGAGGTGCAGCGATCTGTGATGTACAAAGAAGATGCCAGATTGAAAAGATGGAGCATAGACCCCCTGCAGATGGAGACAACTTAGGGAAGTTCTAGGCAGAGAACTGGAAATACGTTTATTCTCAATGATGAGAATAAACAGTGGCACCTCTTGGAAGTGACAAGAATCAACAACTGGTGGCTGACAATTGAACTCAATACAGATGAAAACAACAACAACAAAACAAGACACAGAACATAACTATATATTAACTGAAGATGCAAATGTTTTGACTCCCAGGTATGATAAAAGGACATGGGAAGGGCACTCCCTCCCTCCCACGGCATGTGCCCCCTCACCTACCACACTGCACCTCAGTGTTCTATGCTGAAGGCTCCATCCACGATGGACAGGCTCCCCGGGTCCCCTAGATATCCCTAGGACCCACAGACTGCTCCACCACACCCCAGAGGTGGGGGCAGACATTGGGAAGCAGAGAAGGGAGAAGGATCCCAGAGACCTATTCAAAGTGGTAACGCACAAGGTGGACTATGAGGAAGAGAAGAATATGGCACAATTGAGCAAATGGACAACTAAACAGCAGATGAAATTCAATGCAAATAAGTGTAAAGTGATGAAGAAATATCCACCCTAGATCTACACTATGGTGGGCTCTACATGAGTTGTAGAAAAGATCTGAGACTCATTATGGACAGTTTGTTAAAACCATCAGCTCAGAGCTCAGCAGCTGTCAAAAAGGCAAGAAAAGTATTAGAGATTATTAAGAAGTTCTTTTTCACGCAGTGTGTAACTGATGTGTGGAACTTGTTGCCACCAGATGTGGTGGAAGCTGAGAGTTTGGCCAGATTTGCAAAGGGATTGGACAAATTCCTGGAGGAAAAGAGCATCAGTAGCTATTGAGCACAGGAGTGAGGGGCACAGACTCTGAATCAAAACGTCCTTGACCTTAAATGCTGGAGGCAGCAAGTGGTGAAAAAACCCAGGTCAGACTCAGTTCACTCTTCCTTTCAGCATCTGCTCTCTGCCGCCATGAGATACAGAAGACTGGGTAAACTGGACTTATAGTCTGACCCAGCCAATGACAATTCTTATGTCTTTGCAGAGCATAATATGTTTGCAAGCAACCTCCCAAAACACAGAGGGATTTTAGGAGGACAAGAAAACTTTACAGAATGAGAGTGATCTTGAAAGCACAGGACATAAAATAACTGTAGCTAAGATAAAACACATGATTTATAGTTTCATAGTAGGTAGGGTCAGAAGGGACCTGAGCAGATCATCAAGTCCAAACCCCTGCCACAGGCAGGAAAGAAAGCTAGGGTCAAACAACCCCGGCTAGGTGTCTATCCGGCCTCCTTCTGAAGACCCCTAGGGTACTTCCCTTGGAAGTTGGTTCCAGATCCTAGCTGCCCTGACTGTGAAGTAGTGTCTCCTGATAGCTAGCCTGAAAATGATTTTTTTATGGAAATGAAGATGTTAGAAAGCGATGGGAAGAAACTTAGAGCAATTCCTTGTTAAAAGTAATTGGGTTCTATTGTGCATCCAAACATTCCTGGAGGATAAGTTGAGGAAATGGAAAAGCCGTGTGTTAATGCAGATGTCAATAAGACCTCCATGGACTTATGCTGGGTAGTAACCAAAAATAAATAAATAAAACGGATTAGAAAGCACTGAAATGTAAAAGCTAGTGCAATTAAAATGTTGGGACAAGAGACAATAAGAGAGGGTGGAAAACCACTTCCCTAAGTTAGGGCCCTTGGTGCAAATCTATGAATAATGGGTTGGAGATGTCATGGACAGGCTGGGAGGGCAGAAAGAGATCAGCATGCAAAATAATTGCTGAATATGGAAGCAGCAGGAGCTGGGTCAAGAGTAAGACCCAAGAGAAGGGGAGTGGACCAAATAAAGGAGGATATAAAAATATGAAACAGAACACAGGCCTGATCAGTGACAGAGGGAGAAACCAATCTTCATAAGGGGAAGATGGAAAAGGAAGGAGAGGAAGCTGACATTTCTTAGCTCACATAGCAGTGTGCAAGAAACAGAACTTTACCCAGGGAAAAAAGGGTATGGTAATTTCTCAGTATTTTATCAGTGTCTGCAGTCATTGCACAAGCACTTAAGATTCCCTGCATGGTGAATCATATGTTTGCAGGCAATGTCTCAAAATATGGAGAGATAATAGAAAGGCAAGGAAACTTTTTGAAGTGGCAAAGAGAGTTTGAGATTATGAGTTTTAAATTAAATACAACAAAGGCATAAGCTGTGGTGGGTGGAGACGGAGATGTTGGAAAGGCACACAGGCAGAAACTTATGACATTTTTAGAAGTACTTGGGTTTTACTGATAACAGAAATGTCCCTAGAGGATAAGTTAAGGAAATAGAAAAGCCATGTATTGAAGCATCAGATGCCGATAGAGATCCCCATAGATTTATGTCAGTTAGGTAACCAAAAAGAAAAAAGTGGGTTAGACACCACTGAAACAAGCAGGCTAAGATAGCTAAATGTTTGGGCAAGATACTGCCAGAAAGAGAATAAAGGTGTAAGACCAGTTCCCCTAGTAAGAGCACTTGGTGAATATCTGTGAAAAGTGGTTAGAGATATCATGGACAGACTGGGAAGGTAGAGGGAGATCAGCCTGCAAAATAACAGCTGAACATGGAAGCACCAGGAGGTTATACCAAGAGGAAAACCTAAAAGAAGGAGCGTGGATCAAATAAAGGAGGATATGAAAATACAAAATGAAACACAGGCCTGATCAGTGACAGCAGTGGGGAGATAGCAGATTTAAATCATAAGCCAAACCCTCATGAGGACTATAGAAGAACCAGGAAAGGAAGGGCACATTTCTGAGCTCACCCAGCAAGAAGAAAGAAACTGAATTTTACCCAGGGAAACAAGGGCTTGGTAATTCCTCAGCATCTGGTCCCGGTAAAGTGCCTTGTCTCCATCTCCCAACAGCTCCCACTCCTTGCGGGTGAAGTACAGCGCCACATCTTCAAATGCCTCCCGGAGCTGCAGGCACAAGCAGCAAACACACAGTCCCTTCTGCTCCAGCCTCATTCAGCCCTGAGCCTTACATTGCACTATAAAGCTGTGCCAACCTAACTACACTAGGCGTGGATGTGAAATGTCCCACCCTGTGGATGACACATTCTCCAGCAAAATCTCTGGTGAGAACACAGCACAGGGTATGACTATACTAGGGGACAGTGCGACCGTAACTAAACCAACAGTAATGATTCACCAACAGTGACCTCCCCAGGACACCTACACCTCTGAGCTGCACTGCAAGCATTTGCTAGTTTGGCTTTCCCAGGCAGAGATGTGGAACTTCTGACCCTTGAGTTGACCCAGATGCTCCAACAAAGCACTAGGTGTAGACAGCTGTGCTGACAGAGGTGCGTTTTGTCTATTTCAGCCCATGTCACCCAGGAGCTAATACAGCTACTCCTTCTGTTGGCATAGGCTGTGTCTAGGTTAGGGGGTATTGCTAGGGGTGCACGAATAGAGATTTTGGGGGCTGATAGCCAATTTTTAAGGAGGCATATCGGCCAATACCGATCCAATTTCTGATACAGCTGCGTCTCTTGTGGTGGACCAGAAAGGGGAGTGAAGGGGTGTAGCGGGTGGGGGGGAAAATCAACACTCCCTGCGGTGAGGGAGGACTGGGGTGGAGTAGGAGTTGCTCAGCTGGGGTGGGGTGGGGTGGGATAGGTGCAGGATGGAGCCATGGGAAGGGGAGTAGTGGCTCTCGCCACTGGTCCAGAAGCGGTTCGTCTGCTTGTCTGGCGGCTCCTACTGCTGCTCCCACCACTCATCTGGAAGGGCAGGGGCCCCCAGATCTACACGGGGCAAGTGGGCTACAGCTGTGGGCTGGAAGCCCCACTGCGCTCAAAGTGGGCACTGGTGGCACTTCTGGACCAACAGCACACAGCAGTGGGAGCTGCTGCCCCCTCCCCATAGCTCCATCCTGCACCCACCCTGCCTGGCCAGCGCCCACCTCAGCCCCAGTCCTCCCTCACTGCGGGGAGCATTGGTCTGCCCCCAACCCCTTTGCTCCCCGCTCCATGGCCACCACAACGGACTTACCAGCTGGAGGCAGCTCTCTACACTGCCGGGCTCTGCTTCTCCCTGCCTGTGTGCTGCACTGCAGCTGCGTGCAAACAGGCATTTATCAGCCAAATTAATCGGCCACGTAAAGTCGATTTCCGATATAGTCAATTTTCTTTATATCAGTGCCGATCCAACATTAGACCGATGTATCGGTGCACCTCTAGGTGCTGCCTTCCTCACTGCACCAGCAGAGATCCTGTAGTACAAGTGCCCGAGTCTCCCCAGGGGAAGCTGTTTTCCTGGCAGAGACTCTCAGGGAAAATCCCCAGCCTGGGACCCTGGGAACTGATACTTCTCCGCCAGACACCTCCATAGGGAATGCCAGGGCCTGGCAGAGAAGAGTCAGGACTCTCCCTTTGCTCCCCCTCTGGGTCTGGGGCCTGCAGCTTTGAAGGCCCCAGTGTATTTCTGCCCTCACATGAGCTACCAGGTCTTCCCATAGAGGTCCTACCTGAGTCATGGCTGCTGCGGCCATATCTGCGACCTGGGGCAGAGGAGGGGAAGTGAAGGGCAGGGGAAGGAGTAGAGCGGCAAGGAGAAGTGCAGAACGCCCGTGGCCAGGCTGGGCGGATGCAGGCTGGACTCAGCGGAAAAGATGAACCTGGAACGAGGAGAAACAGCGAAGTTCGCAGACGTCGCCGTGCTGGGGCGGGAGGGAGGGAAGGAGGGGAGGAGGGCGGGCAGCCCGCGGCGGGGCACCTGGGGAGGATGGCGGCTCTCCCGGCACCAGCTGCATGGGGGCGCCACCCGCACTGCCCTGCAGAGCCCCCGGCGCAGCGCCCGCCCCGGCTAGGGCCCACCTGGGCTGGCGCGCCGAGCGGCGCTCTCGGGACGACCCTCCGGGGTTGCTCCCCGGGCCGCCCCGCGCTCCGCCCACCGCAGGCGTCACTTCCGCACGCGGGATAGGCTCCCGCCTCCGCTCTGGTTGTCCCCGGAAGACTCTATGATGGCTTCGCCCCCTTTCGTTCCTGCGGCAGCAGTGCCAGGCCGCCTGGGTCGGGGTGGGAAGAGGAACGGCGTGCACTGGAAAGCTTGTGGCACACATGCAGCTACGTGTATATAAATACACGCATGCACGTACAAGCGTGCATACATAACCTTGTCTGTACATGTATATAATACGCATATGCATATGTACATACATACATATACATACATGCACATAAATATACACATACATGCATACATACATATACAGATGCATATATACATGCATGCAAACATACATGAACCTATATATGCATGCATACACCCATATATGCACATACACATGCATACATGCACATATATACACATATATACGTATAGATACACAATACTGTAAACACTAGAGGCTGCAGATGTTCCCAGTATCAGTGTCATACGTATAATTGGTTTCAGGTGCTGCAAGTTTATGCAACTGCCTCTGGCCCATGCCACCATGTCCCGTCTCCATGTGGACTTAGGCGCGTAGCATGCAGGTTCCAAGAAGGGCTACAGGACACAGTATAGACGATAGATTGTCTAGCTAGCCCAGCTACATAGATAGTCCAGTACAAGAGCTCACCTTATGAAATCCCTGCCTCTCACATGGCTGCTCAGGGATGCCTGCTCTACATCATGCCCTGCCCAGTTCAACTTCTATGGAGGTGGAATTTGAAGTACTGGCAACTCGTAAAGTTTCTGGGTGCTTGGGTTTTTTTAAGTCTTTGTCCTTTCACTTTAGGGGATGTTAACCCAGTGGTTCTCAATGTTTTTAGACTAGAGGCAACCCTCAGAGAAAGCCAGTTCTTAGTTTCCTTTCATTTTTCTAACAACAAAAATAGCAAAGCAGTTATTTTCAGCTGCAAACAAGTCAGCCACACCACAATAAGTCAGTGTTTTAAGGACGTGTTGAAGAGGTTGGACAGGTACTGGTCAGGGATGACTGAGGCGTAGTGATGCCTATGTTCTACTGTGGGAATTTCCCAGGCTTCTGGGTTTTTCTGGTTGCCCTGCCCACCTGTTTCTGCTACATGTGTCAAGGGGTTTTTAAGCATCCCTCAGAGTTGTCTGCAGCCCAAGCTGGGGACGTTGGGCTGTGACAATGCTTCTGCTGGGACCAAAGCGAGAGGATCTTGCCCCTCCGCTCAGGGTCAGACTGACACTGCATGGGGTCAGGAAGGAATTTTGCCCCCTGGCCAAATTGGTCCAGACTGGGGGGGGGGTGGAGGTTGCCTTCTTCTGTAGCAGGGGCATGGCTTCAACCTGGGATCTCTTGAGTGTATAATAACAACCTTGTACAGAAGCCGGATGTTGGCTGCCATGATCTCCCTGCTTTACCTGTGACAGGATTGGGTGTGATATCTGATACTGTATCAGGGTTGACTGTGTAGTTTTGCTAAGAGGTTGGACAATAGATTTGTATATGATGGTTTGGATGGGGCTGATCCTATCTCAGGCAAGGTGTTGGACTAATTGACCTCTGGAGGTCCCTTCCAGCCCTACTTTGTTATGATTCTGTGAACCCCTGGCTTATAAGGCCAGTGCTCTCAGCCCTGAGCTATAGGGCCTCACACATTGAATGCCCCCTTCCAAGTCCACAAGGCAACAGCACACCAGCCTTTTCTGCCCCACATTGAACTCAGGATGATACCTGGGTCCTCCTGCTTTACTTATGGCAGGTTAGAGCACTGTGTTCTGTGGCTGTGTGGCAGAGTTGCCTGTGTAGTTTTAATAACAGATTGGACAAGGATTTGTCTAGAGTGGCGGGGATGCCTTGGGTCCTGCCTCAGGCAGGGGTTGGACTAGATGTAACCTGTCCTGGGGTGGTGCCTTCTAGCCCCACTTCTCAAGACTATACCACATTTTCTAATGGCAGAAAAATAATAAAGCTGTTTTTTGGCTGTGACCACCTCAGAAACACCATACCAGGTCAGGATATTTTAACCTTGTGGATTCCTATTTGAAATCTCTGGATGTGTCTTGAGAATGTTTTAACTGTGATCTTGTGAATCATGCACCCCTTAACGGTGCTGACATTGTATGGCATCCCCAAACACCCCTGAGAGAATCTCAAGGCCTGATTGAAAATCATTGTTTTAATGCTGCTCAGTGACAGCAGGGATGTTGAACTCTGTATGTTACCAGTCACGCACTTTACCTGCCCGACATCTGTATTTACGCCCCATTCCCCTGTACTGGGACCATACCAGCTGCCTTTGGTTGGGGTGAGGAAGCACCAGCCTTGAGTGCTGCATCCCAGTGGGGGTACCAGCAGCATCTCCCTTCCCCTCCTCCCCTCCCTCATCAGTCATGTCATCTGCAGGGCATGCTGGGAGCTGGAGTATTCCTGGAGTATTCTCTTTTCTCCTGATGTGATTGGTTGTGTGGGTCTAAGCAGTGATGCCAACAGGCCTAAGATCTTTCCCTGCCATTACGATGGAGTGAAAGCTGGAGTGCCCAGGTAGGTGCTGTGTCCCCTGGTCCCCACCCTAGGCTCAGACTGAAGGGAGAAGAGGATGGGCAGAAGCCCTGTGGGGTGCTGGGCAGGGCCTGGGAGCTAAGAAAGGAGCAAGGACCCATGCCCCATGCTGCAGAGGGAGGCAAGCGCCTCTTCAACTGCAGCTCAGGCTGAATTAGGGGCAGCTCCTTCCTGGTGAACACAAGGTGCTTCATCTCAGATGGAACAATCAGAAACTCAAGCACAAAATGGGTGACACCGGGCTGGAGGGCAGCACTACGGAAAAGAATCTGGGTGTCTTGGCAGATCGTGAACTCAATATGAGTCTGCAGTGTGATGCAGC